TTGTTGGAGTTGGTACTTCAAATACTTGATAACGTCTTCTTTCACTTTCCTGATGTTTTAGGACAACTGTTAGTCAATTTTTAAGAATGCGACGTGCTGCTTCTGGAGCAGTGATAATGCGACTGACTTGATATTCTTTGATTTCCTTGTTGTGAAGCGTTATTTGTTTACTCGGCATTGTTGTGCAACACAACAATGCCGTGTAAACAAATATCTGTTGGTATTGTTGATGACGTAATTTTTTGACGACAAATTGGTTGAAGACAACGAGGAATCACAAATTTTTATAGTAAAGAAGAAGAAGATAGACGTATTTACGTCAAAATTTCAAAATATGACAACCCCACGAAATTCTATTTATCTTTAGTTCACTCTATTACGCTTTTCAATTGTAATTTATTTTAGTGAGATTCCGTATTTGACAATTCATATTATGGTTGTCGGTGAATGCTTAAATTCTATACAAAATAAATTGGTGTCATGTTATTATTTTTTATTTAGTGTTCTGTCTGACGACAGGTCCATATGAACAGGATCCTTCCATCCTTTTCTCGGACTGGGGACCTGTTCATATACGTTCTTGGCAGATGATCCAGAAGTGGTTTGCCATTGCCTTCTTCTGTGTGTGAATGGAGTGATTGTTGGGAAATCACAGAGAAACTCCCGGAGGAAAACTCCGTGTTGCCTAGACCACGACCTTGCCCGACACAAGTTATAAATTCGGGCACCGCCGGGTAATGAACCCGAGACCCCAGGATTACAAGGCGGTCTCGGGTTCGATACCCGGCGGTGTTAGAGGAAAGTAAATATTGTTTGTACACACGCGCTTGTGTTCAAGTGCTTTATTGCCAAAGACATTCTGGTATGTTATTTTTTTCATAATACTGCTTATAATACGATGAGCTGAATAGTATTACACAAATTCCAGTCTGCTGGCATACTCCATACTCCTCTTTTGACACTTTCTGAGACAAGTCAGTGAGATTTTGTGTATTTTCATACTGTAAGTATCCACGGCGTCAAAAACTGATCGAAATTTCTTTCTGTTTGTTATCAGCGCGATATGAAATTGTGTCTTGGAGAGTTTCGTCATTTACACTTGACTGTAAATGGCGTGTTATTACAAGAAGCATCGTGGTTGCCAAATTTGGATATCGCCTAAAAGTTTCGTGGTAAAGCCTAGAGATTTCTACATTTTCTGATAGTCTTGTAACTTTAAATATTATGAATCATTAACAGATTCGCGTCATGAAGTTCCAGTTCCATCGTGTAGGTGGCAGTTTGTTGAGGTGATTCCTGATATGGTACCGTAAATAAAGCGGCCGAGAGCGAAACTGAACATTTATGTACCACCATGATTGCAGATTTATGCATTTAAAAAGAAATATTTATGACTAAATTGAGTACTGTGTTCATTATTATTATAATCATAATCTATCCTTTTTTGTAGGTTTACCGAAAAGCGTGAAAACCGTTCCTCTTTTGTTTTCAGACCGTGAGGTTTAAACTTTTAAGCATTGGAGACAGCCTAAGACTGCTCTGTGGCCATCCGAATTCACCATGAATATTCTGTTAGCCGTCATTTTCATGTCTACATATTCTTCTGCAAGGTACGTAAATTATTTACATGAATATTCATTTACATTCTCATTATTTAGCATAGTAAACATAAAAGCAATAAGTAGGATTTGAGGTCCGAAGTTGACGGTCTTCTGGGTTCTTGCGCCTCGTAGTCCGGTAGAAGTTTACCGACGTTCAGAGGTCCTTGTTGCCTCCATCATCAGGGCGAATCGTATCACCGATAGGGTTTAGGCTAACTCAGTTGTACAGTAGGTGCCCGAATCAGACCCTGACTGATCTCAGCACCTCCAAACGTTCCATGACATCGTTTAAAAGTAACAACAGCAGATTTCAACTCTCTCACAATTCAGCGAACATTCTCGTAGGATCATTCATCACTCGGCGCACAAAATGACTCCATTTGACGCAGCGTCATTAAATAAACTAATAAATACTGGCAACGCAACTATAACCTGTTAGATTTACAAACAACACGTGTCTTGGGAAGAACCAATTCGTTGATGTCTCATCCGCTTTCTTTAGAGGCGTTTGTTTAATGACGCCATTAATTGATAAGATCGTGCATGTTTAGATGTGTTAGTGGTGGTTAGATTTGTAGATTTATTGCACAATTAAGACAGATGGACGTCATCACTGGAAAAGTCCACTGCCATTTTGCGGTCCACAAAGAAATGTTTTGGGAACTGTATCACTTCCTGGTATCCATGCTCAACGAGAAATGATGAACTGATAAATTTTCCCAGGTTAACTTCCGCACTCGTACGTCAGAAACGTGATAAACGTAATTCTGCCTGATATCAAAGACCGCACTGCTCTATGTGAACGAAGAAGCACGTTACCTTTACCTACAGCTTGGATTCTCTATGCGAAAGTTATCATGCGGCCAGTATGTACGTTCGTATGATGGACGAATGAATGACTCCACACACTTTATTGATTTATACTCGTGCGTCAGAGATATTAAGATGATTCCATTGATTCTGCCGTGGTAGAAGAAATTAAAGGTTTAGCACCTCTAATACGAAAGCTCACAACTTGATGAAATACGAATCAGTTCCATCCAAAGAAATGAAAAAAGAACAGGTACGAAGTTAGAGTTTATTGTATGGATGCATTATTCAGATATCGAAAATTTGTGGTCTGCGGTCCCCTGTGTCCGAATTCTCGTTGTCGTGACTCCTGATTTCAATGTTGGAGGTAAATTAAGTTGCTCTGGGAGAATGCTGAAAGCAGGAACTCATAGTATCATCCAAATTGAAAGGCATTGTGTGTTTAGTAACGGTGTTGAAGGTTTGATATTAGTGAGGTTAACTGTCGTGGCCCTGTGGCGCAACGGATAACGCGTCTGACTACGGATCAGAAGATTCCAGGTTCGAATCCTGGCAGGGTCGGTGTTTTTTTATAATTATTTTCAAAACATTTAATAATACATTTCTATTTTATGACGATTTATGAAAAAAAATTGTCGCCAAGAGGGAAAATACGCATTCCTTTTGTCGCATGATTTCTTCTGAACGTAGTAGTGAAAGTGTTCGCACTTCTTATACAGGATACTGGGAACGACCCGTTCTTCACGTGGCAGAGCACTGCGGGTTGGCTTTGATCTAAGGACATTCGGTAGGACTCCTTGGACGAGGGATCGGGCCGTCGCAAGGCCTCTACCTGTACACAGGACAACGCAACACAGAAAAACGCGGACAGACATCCATGGCTTGAGTGGGATTCGAACCCACGGTCCCAGCGACCAAGCGGCCACTGCGGACCCCTAGTTTAGGACACGTACTGACAAATATGACCTCCCTTATATGCGTTCACTTTGTTTAAAGAACGTATAATAAACCAGTGTTTAATACTATTTAATATAGCCCCCTGACTTCCCAGCCAAGGTTTTTATTTCGCGCTGTGTCCACCAACGCCGAGGGAAATGGGGCCTGTCTGGCACCAGTGCGGGATAACATCTACCACGTCATCCTGAGCTCTGCTTGTACTTTCTCAGAAGCGCGGAGCGCATAAAGAAACCAAAAAATACGAACAGAGAATGAAAAAGAGGCCTGCAAGTCTCCAGTGAAATGTATTATGGACACAGACTATCTGATATTACTACATGCTTATTTTATGTAATTAATTTTTTTACACTTCATTCTGTAGCTACGTAGACCATATTTCCATTCCATGAGAAGATGGGGCACGAATGGATTTTAGTTTTCAGAAAAGAAAACAAAATGCTGTGGTTACCAGTAGGCCTGTCTGGGAAGTGGAAAGCAGAGGACACTTGTGATTTGTCCGGTTGTTTCGCTGTTGTACATACATACATCTCATTTTAGCCTACCGATCGCAAATTGCGTTTCCCACTTGCTGGAAGTCTCGCTTTCTGCCGTCTTATTTATTTGTAACTCTGTTTCTCTATGCTTGTGATATCGATTAAATCAAGCGTCTGTGCAAATCGATGTGAGAGTCTGGTTGCTACAGTAGTCATCACCATACTGCACACTTCAAGGCCACGAAAGGATTCCCCTACATCCATCGCGGCTCTAAATCTGTCTTAACTCGTCTGGTCTCTGCTGTTCGTGTGCAACTTTGTACGATTATGCTGTGACTTTGACTCATTCAAGGCGGTGACGGTTACTATAGTGTAGCGACATTGCCCATTATTTCCATTCTACATTACTTTTTTCTCGTACTAGTTTCTTGGTCAGATCATTTAATGACGTTATCTCATTAGAAAGGTTCTCCTACTCTTCGTCGAATGAAAAGAACTTTCCAAGAAGTGACAAGGAAGGAGAAGTAAGCTGTTCTGGCCTATTTTAAGGAAGTATCGTGATATTCGCTTAGAAAGGCTCAGATTATAGTTTAAGCTGTTATGGTTTATTGATTAATCTATCCGTTTCGAAGGAGACTGGAGAGATATTCATGTACAGGAGCTGAATAATATGTACTCTTCATCACATATTATTAGGACAATAAAAGAAAGAAATTGAGAAAAACACGGGGAGAATGATGGGAGAGGTAAAAGGTTATAACATATTTTATTGAAGATAACATTTAAATGCGTTCTGTTACCTGCACCGACAAGCCAAGAAATTGAATGGGCACATGATAAATTACCTACAACAAAATGTTAATTTAAAATAAATTAAAATTACAAAGCAAACTGAACCAGGTGGCAACAGAACATCAATCACTGACAGTCATTTTCTGCAAGTTGTGATAATTATTTTTCTTGTCTGGTATTAAGATACACTAATTTTGAATGATGATACGTTTTATTCATTTTTTTACGTATTTATACCACCCAAAATCGACTTTCTATCTAACTGCTTAGCAATTTCCTAGAAAGAATTTCATCTGATTAAATCTGTTCTCCAATTATTTATTACATGCGTACAGACAAATAACTAAATAAATAAATAAATAGTTTCTTGCACCGTTGTGTGGGTAGCTTGCAATGGCATGACGTCAGACCAAGTTTAATGAATATTTGTCACACTGTTTAAAAGTTAATAATGACGTAAAGAGACATTCTGAGATGTGATAATAGGCTACTGTAGAACCTACTTCAGCTTGGAAATGGAAATTCAGTGACTGAAGGGATATCATTATATCAACAGCATCACGCCAGATTTCATAATAATATTTTAGCGTGTGTGGTGGAAATTAGCAGTACTATACATTTATAAATGTATCATGTAATTATCTATTCTGCGCATAATTTCTGTATTACATGAAATATGACATATAACTAGAGCCTAGTGTCCAATTGTTAATACAATATATGATTTGTACAAGATTTGAGCGAATGTGTCTGATTTATTCAGAAATAATTTTGCATTAATGTTTAGTCCCAGGGGTTTGTTGGTTTTCGGAACCAAACTTAGAGATAAATAAATAAACTTAAAAATTTATCTTGACCGTAAAATCCTTCAAAATTCTACAGTAAGTAAATAAATTACCTCAATAAACATTGGACTTTTTTAAAGACCTCTTTCACGACAAATTTCGGATATCTTTTATCAAATGTCGCCAATGTTTCTTTAAACTCAATTTAGAGACACCGTATTTCCGTGTTGGGAAAAGTAAAGTGTCGCCAAATGAAGGACGGAAATTGAAGTGAACTACTCATGATGTCTTCTGTGATCATAATAATAATTCTTAATTAATAAATATTTTAGTGAAAAGGCTGAAAAATTTATTTATAGAATGGTCATTAAATTTTTCCGAACTGAATAAAGAGGTTTGACAGTTTTTTCATAAAATTCTACAATATTAAATTTAATTAAAATCGTGTTATTCGTTTTTGAGTTTATTTATGCGTTCTGTGGAAGATGGTCACGCTATACGTCACATCAGGCTCGCGTGAACTGACTTTATTCTTCCCACAACGATATGTTTCGATTATTGATGGTAGGAAGTTTGGAAGTACAAAGGTAGAGGTGGAATGAGCTTCTAGCGGGATGCTTTTCTAACCAAGTTTCATAAAAAATAGTCAGTTGGTTTCGTAGTTATTAGGGGAGGATATACACATGTATTCGAACACACAGACTAGATGTCTTTGCTTGTAAAATAAGTAAAGACGGCTACAAATACATTTGATTCACAGCGGATTTTTGAAAATACTATTCTCTAAAATAAGATCTTGGTAACGCATAGAAATAACAAATATCTTTCCTTATAGCACAGCCAATTGTAAACACGTGTTCAGTTTTGCGTTTCCTTGGCTATACATGTTCCTCTCAGCATTAAAAAAAAGTAATATAACCTATAATCTACGATACGCTAATTTGAAATTAAAAGAATGTTCGTGGAAACCTTGGAACGAAATTACTTCTAAATATAATAACCTTGTAGTGCAAGTATGCGGCTAGCGTACTTCGGTGCTCGTTCAATATATTCCACAGAATGGGACGACCACTTGACATCTGACCACAACTTACTGTGGTCAAGCTTCCAATAAATATCACGTGTGCATTCAGAAACCACGACAGCACAAAATCACCATTTCTTCTAAATGCCATTTGATTAAGCTTTCTTT